AGTTTTGTTTTATATATATATATATACATATATATATATAATCTTAGAACCTTCTTTGGGAAATTCTGATTCCAAAAGAAGTTGAGAAGAGGCCTCCTAAGCCTGTGGCATCTACATTTGTTAAACCCTCAAACCTGATTTTATAATGCTTCGTTTACAAGATTTGCTCTCTGGTGTTTACAAGAAGCTTGGAATTGACTCTTGGCAACTCATCAGGATGAAGTATTATAAACTTCAGCCTTTGTTTCATTTTAATTTCTTAGATATTAAAAACACCCCTTTGCTGCATTCTTATAGCCCAGATTGTTATTCACCAACAGTTTAAAGAATATGATGAAAATATGCATAAGTACATACTATGGCATACATATAAGTAATGTTTTGCATAATTTCTGGAGACTCATGGACTCACTAAGTCTCTTTCAAGATATCAGGTATAAATCCCACAATAAAATGAATTTGATCACCCCACTGGACATCCTGGACCAAAATGTACTCATTTATATGCTTAGCATGCAGATCAGGTGTTAATAAAATTTCTTAAATTAATGAATGAGTGAGACCCTCCTAAATTTTCCACTCACTTTGCTGCATTGTAGGAAAACATGGTTTACAGCTGAGAGGAAAATGGGTGAACACAATGGAAGTAGCCTTTTTCTGAATTAAGGCATTCCAATACAAGTTTTTTTCTTCCATTACTGAAGATATGTTAAACAAATTTAAGTTAAGGATTCTGTGTGTATGTGTATAGCTGGACAATCAGCTATACATTTCATAGTGATCACTATAGTATATGATTTCCAATGAAGCAAGGGGATTGGCATGTAGAATGAATAAGTGTCTTCCAGATGATCTGACTTAAAAGTCAGACTTTTTATTTCTACATAGTTTTCTAAGTATTCTATTCCAAACACATCTCATTTTAAAACTTAAATGAAAATGTATCTTATTCAAAAGCGTGTATAAGAAGTTAAGTGTTTGAATGCAGTATCATATTTTAAACATTAGAGCAAGTACCTTTTTGTCATTGTTTTCTTTTATACTGTTTGTGGCCCTAAGAGTATTGGCCAGGTAGTATCCTAAGCAGAAGTGGAAAGAGGTTTTCTTATTCACAAAAGAAGGGGAATAGGAGGAATTAATTTTGATTGATTCTGATTAAGCCACTCAATACTCAGGAAATCATACTTAAGTAGTTTTATTCAATTAGGACACTTAATAAATTGAATTGCTTAATAACTCTTGAGGCTTATCTTGTCTTCCTTTGCTTTGCTTATTTTGTTAATTTTTCTTAATGAATTTGGATGACTTTTTAGCTAAAAGAAGTAAAGAATTGCCATTCTATCATCTCAATAGTGTCAATTACACAGGAAAATATTCACTTTGATCAACTTTACCCCACTGCCATCATCATCATGATGATCCTAGGTTTGTAGGGTGCTTTTCTGTCTAGCAGCACTTTTTCAGCTAGTCTCTCCACTGAACACCATTCCAAATACACTTTGGGTGACAATACGTTGTTATATGTGGTGACATTGGCTTACAAACTTTGTGAGCCACTGTCTCCTGAGTAATGGGAAGGATTCAATCCATCTTGAACTGTGGAGGTGTTTGTATAAGTCTTGGTGGAGGAAATTATGAAGTTCCCTCTTCGGAGGACTGGAAGCAGCTCTTTAATAAATTTTGGACTTTATTCCTTTCTTAAATTAACTCATAATAACTCATAACAGTGGTTGAAAAGGAAGTCCCTTAGTCTCAGAAATGTCATTGTCTTTGCAAAAAAAAAAGTATAGTTTAAACAATAAAAACAAGTACTCACTGTGGTTTGTTATGTGTTTCTTAGTGTTCATGTAAGACATCATGCTCTACCATAAAGTGTCCAAAATGCTTTACCCATTTCAGGGGAAGAAGGGGGTGGGCACAGTAGAAGACAGCAAAAGACAAGGGCCAGGAAATTTCTATTTATTCTGCTTTGTAAACTGTGCAGGTAGTATATCCCCCTGTCTTCTTGGGGTTTTAGGTCTTATCTGTCAGATTGGGGCTACAGAGCCTTTTTCACACGTTTGACTTTGATATGCATCTAGGCTCTTCCTTGTCCTTCCTTTCTTCAGGGGTTATATTGCCGGAAAGGGTGAGCATTTTCATGGCAAATAAAGAGGCCTGGTCTTGACTTTATTGTCCTCAGAAGAAACTACAAGAGGGGAATTTATGACCAATGGGGGTGGGGAAGGACCTCAACCTTTCCAGAGTTCTTGAAGTCTGGTTATATTTACTGATTAATTTACTGAGCTGAAAACACGGGCACACACAGGTTGAATTTTAACCTCTCTGCCTCAAGTTAGAATTTAAAGACTCAGTCACTTTTTGATCAGGAGGGATTTTATGAAATAGCTCCTCAAATATGTATTTTGATTCTAAGATTTGAAGTTGTGAAAAGAAATTAAACTTTGGGTTTTCATTTTTGTCCTCCAGTATACATTCTGTCTTTGCAATATGCCAACAGCCAGACCCCTGATTTCCTATGTTTCTGTACGGTTTCAGGAAACTAGCTTGAAATTTGAGTCTTTGAGGAAGATTCACTGACTGGGACTTAGGGCTCATCATCTTTCATTTTCAAGAGAGGGAATTTTTGTTTCCTTCGGTAGTCCATAAGTTATTATGCCATTTAGTTGACTCCTAAGCTAGATCTGTTTCTACCTCCAAGTCCCCCCTCCCCCTTCCTGGAGATGAAAGGGTGTCTGACATTTGTTTAGGGCTTGTAAATTCCAAACCAATTGGTTGGTGTTTCTGAATGTAAAGAGGGTTCAGGATAGGATCCAAAGCTATGTAGCTCCTTTGTTAGGCCTGTGCTGCATCTTAACACCTCAATGGAGTTTAGGGACCCACTTTAAAGAAGTCTTTGTCCCACAGATCGCCCCCCAAAACCTCAGATCAAAAACAACCAGAAAAGATCAGAAGAAGTCTCTAAAAGCCACAGAGAGAGGAAAATCATGGAGGGGGTTAGAGAAACTGAAAAGAAAGGGAAACTTCCTAATCACTTTTGGAAAATTTGAAAGGAGGAATAAACTATTTGAAGGAGGGCATGAAAAATTAGTTAAATGTTGTAACACAAAGCAAATGTTTGGATATCTTTTCAAGGGACATGGAATACTCACTTTATTCTGCTTAAGTCAACACCCCCTCCTTTCACCATTCACTGTCCACTTGGGAATAAAAAATGCCTTAAGATTCCCACAGAAAACTAGTATGTTTTCTAATAGATAATAGGAGCTGTTCTGAAACAGAATTTGCTAAATAACAATAAATATTTTCTTTTCAAATTACTGTATAAATCAAATTCTTTCTGGGTAGTTTATATAGCTCTAATGTCAGGATCCCAGACTAGTTTGCCACACTTGGGTATTCTACTTCCCAACATGTTTAAACTGCAAATAAATCTAGCATGCTTAACTGGGAATCAAAAGCACATGCTTGGTTCCTCACTCCTAAGCTCACTGGTACAAATTCACTTACCTAAACTGAGCCTCAAGTTCTTTATTTGTACAATGGGGAGAAGACATTTTCTGTATAGTTATGCAGGGTAGATAAGGTACTTAAGAGGAAATAGTTTGAAAGAACTGTATAAAATGTAATGTATAATGGATGTTGCTATTACTGTTAATGCTATTCTTATATGCAAGTGAGCAAGGAATGAAAACCATGGGTGTTTAAGTATTTTAAATGTTTTGTGATAACAGTAGGTCAAGAGTAGAATAATTTTGATTTGACTGAGCATTTTAGAAGAAACACAAAAAAAGATATTTTTAATATACAGAAAAATGATAGACCGATGTTTCTATTTACAGCCAGCTAGATAGAAATATCATAAACCATAGATAATAATGTATTTAATGGAGAAATAGACTTGACATATTTGGTTTAAAAATGTGTTTGCCTTGTATTTTAAAGTATCAGATGAAGTTAAGAAGAGTGATTATGATTCCTTCAACCAAAATAATCTTCAAGGAACAGAATAAGATTAAATGTTATGCTTTCTCTTCCATTAGGGAAAACCAGGACAAAAGAAAAGTATCGTGTGGTTTATACAGATCACCAAAGGCTGGAGCTGGAAAAGGAATTCCACTGCAATAGATACATCACCATCCGGAGAAAGTCAGAGCTGGCAGTTAACCTGGGCCTTTCTGAAAGACAGGTATCCCAGAAGTATACCAAACATGTCATATACAGTCATTTGAATTGACTGAGGTTTGGGGAAGTCTGTTAGCAAGAATGGAAGCGAAAGAGAGGATGGAGGCATTCTCCAAGCACTCCTAAACCCACTTTCATCCTACTTTGTCTCCCTGGTCAGTGGATTTATTAATTATTGAATAGGTGGACATCATGAGTGCCTGGGAGCAAGAGATGGAGGAGCACAAAGATGCAGAGAGATTAGCAATCCAGTATAATTTGTCAATCAAGGTAGAACTTGATCTGGTTCCTCAAGTAGTATCAACCAATGTGGGAAGTAGAGATTTGGCAATTGTCTGTCAGTCAAACTACAAGAGAAGCGGAACATAAGAGTGGCTACACAGTCTGTTTTTTCTTTTATTCAGGACAGGAAACATAATCTTCTCTGGTCTACATAGTCTCATGGTGTCTGCCTCAAATTTAGCTTACTGTGGGCATCAATGAAGATTAAATTATAGCAAAGACCAACAGCTTCCATTTGTACAGACGTAAAAATTACATGACTACTTGGTTATTTTTCACTGATATTCTAGGGGTCATTCTGGAATCCCAGAGTTCTATTATCACATTATCTCAGCACTTTGCATTTCAACCATGTGTAAGCATATTAATATAACTCTGGCATTATTTTCCAATAAGAGATATATAGTATTTCAAGACCTTTGTTCATGTAGTTCTGTGTTGTTAACCTTTTAATATTAGGAAGTTTCTGAGTGACTGATTGCAATCGCCTTTGCTATTTAAATCCCTCTGTTTTATCGGCAGTTCTCAGCATCACTGCATAATGACTGATTTCTGCTTGTGCAGCAGAGTATGTGGGTGAAGTATAATATAAAGCACTCTGCATGCAGAGTCAGTATTCCTAGACTTGATTTCAGTCTCATTTCTTACAAACCAATTGCCCTCTCTGAGCCACAGGTTTTTCTAAGTTGTTCAATGTGTATCCTTCACAAGGCCTTTGTGAGGCTTAAATGAAGTGATGTGCATGAAAGGGCTTTGTAATATCTGCATGGGCATAGTCACTGTTAACTTACATTCAGTATGTTGTGCCATTAAGTACAAAGCATTTTGTGTTTCAGGTGAAAATCTGGTTTCAGAATCGCAGAGCCAAGGAGAGAAAGATGATCAAAAAGAAAATCTCCCAGTTTGAGAACAGTGGAGGTTCTGTGCAAAGTGACTCTGGCTCCATCAGCCCCGGAGAACTGCCTAACACTTTTTTCGCCACTCCACCTGCTGTCTGTGGATTTCAGCCAATTGAGATACAGCAGGTTATAGTCTCTGAATGAAAAAAAGAGCAGAGAAATGGAAGTGTCCTTCCTTTAGCAGTGTCTCTTTGATCTCTAAAATGTCAGCAGGGGAGTTGGGACAGAATGTAATTCTTTATAAGGCAGTATTCCAAACAAGTGGACCCACCGTGAATTGGAGCTATTTCAGAGGACTCTTACTCTCAAAAATGCCTGTTACATGCTATGTTGTATGTTACGTATTTAGGAAGCTCAATAATAAGCTATATTTCTTAAAACCTAGAATCACAAGCCCTTGTAACTCTGTTCACAGTTTCAGAAACTTGTTTATGAACAGACTGTAAAATATAGTTCTGCCAAGGGGAACATTTGTGTATGTGTACTTGTGTATGTGATTTGATGCTCAATGTATTCTATGGCATTTTTAGAAGGTAGGAGTAAGGTAAACAGAAAATTCTCTGTCTCTAGAGACTTTCTCAAGTGTGTAATTCATAAATGAACAGTTTTCATTACAAGATCACTTTTTAAAATCATCAGGCAGTGATTCTGAATCTATTATCACGAGATAATAAAATAAAAAGGATCATTTTGTCCCTCCAATCATGATGGCCTGACATCAGTTACCTAATCACAGAACTTCTAACATGGGGTATCAATTTCAATCTTGTCAAAACAATGCAATCAGACTAAAGCAATATAAGCCAGGTTAGTTGAGTCATTACCAAATCAGATCTTCATTGAATAGTATAAACCCTCCTGCCTTTCCAAAAAGCTGCAGTTCACAGATTACAAATACACAATTTTGGTAGGACTGCAGTGAAGAGGGTGGCCTCAAGCTCTTGGTGTGCACATATCAAAGAGGCTAAAGTCTCAGCTTCCCTTTTTAAGGTACATTTTTACAGTTCTTAAGGGCATCAGAATTTTGAGCATAATTACCTGTTTGAGGGTTGAAAATAAATGTATTTTCCCACTCCTTACCAAAACAAGTCTCAGAAAAAGGGTTCACATTACATGGCTCATGCTGAAAAGACATAATTTAGTGCTGAAAAGATTTAAGGAAAGTCAGGCATGGTGGCACACGCCTTTAATCCCAGCACTAGGAAGGCAGAGGCAGGTGGATCTCTGTGAGTTCAAGCCCAGCCTGGTCTACATAGTGAGTTCCAGGACAGCTGGGGCTACAGGGAGATCCTGTCTCAAAAAGACCAAAAAAAAAAAAAATTAAGGAAAATCTTTCCATCTTTGACCCAACTTCTTGGAAATATATTCATAGCAAGATATTTATAAGAAAGGTATCAATTGCCCCATTTTACGCATAAGTAAACTGAGGTGTGAAGAATCACTTTACAAAAACATAAAGCAAGGCAACTGTGGATGGCAGTTAGAACCCCTGTGTACAAAGGGTGTCTTTCCTCAGTTTGGACTGATAAATTCAAAGTCATTCCTAATAGAGCCCATCCCACAAAAGATATACCTTTGACTATGATAGTCACATTTACCCAAGAGTTGCTCTTTCCTGCTTTAATACCATTGTTCTACAGAAAAGAAAAATTTCTGTATTTTTTCTGGGCTTTTTGAGACAAGGTCTCCCTGTAGCCCCAGCTGGCCTGAAACTCACTATGTAGACCAGGCTGACCTCAAACTCACAGAGATCCACCTGCCTCTGCCTCCCAAGTGCTAGGATTAAAGGCATATGCCACCATACCCAGCCAAATTTCTGTATTTGTATGGATTCTAATTCACTAGTTTTCTAAAAAAACGAAAAACTGGAGTAAGGTTCTTAATAACATGTTACAGCCATTTCCTCTAAAAAGACATGCTTATTCTTTGAGTCCTGAGAAAAATAAGCACCCCCATGCTTTATGGTTACATTACAGTGGTAAATGCTGGAGGTATGTAGACAAAAAGATAAGACCAAAGTTCAAAGGTTGCACTTGAAGTAGGCTTCAATAAGGAAAATTTCTTTCTGGTTTGTGGAGAGCTGGGAGGGGCAGCACAGTTACGAAAACATGCCAAATGGCTGACAGTGTTGTGTAGTATAACTGGGATTGTGGAGGATTTTCTTTTTTCCATTACTCTTCAAATTTATGCATCATGTAATATGAAATAAATGATTCCTTAAGAGACATCATTTATTTTCCTTCCAAATATTTTTATCCTTAAGTAATTTGCAGACTTTAGGATATTCTTTGCAATTTATTCAGTGTCCCAATATTACACTTAATATCCTTGATCTTATCTGAGAATTTGTGTGCAGCTATAGTGAAGATCACTGGGAGGCCCTGGCTTGTTTCCAAATAAAGAAGGAAATAAGGCCCACGGAAAGTTTTCCACTCTTGGCTTACATCCAGAGAATGGTTCGCTTCTCTTGTTGAAACATTTTAATGTTACCAAGCCAAGTCAAGAAGTGGTCTAGTTACCCTATATTGCTGTGATGGGTGTACTGGCGCATGCCTTTAATCCCAGCACTTGGGAGGCATTGCCACTGAGGAGGCAGAGGCAGGCGGATCTTTGGGAGTTCGAGGCCAGCCTGGTCTACATAGTGAGTTCCAGGACAGCTGGGGCTACAGAGAGAGGCTGTCTCAAAAAGAAAAAAAAAATACTGACTAAAAACAACTTGGAGAGGAAAGTGTTTAATTTATTTTACAACTCCTGGGTTATACTTCCAGGGGGCTAAGGGCTGGAGCCTTAAGATAGGAGCTGAAGCACAGACCATGGAGGAATGCTGCTTACAGGCTTCCTTCCCTGACAGGTGCTCAGCCTGTTTTCTTATACAACACAGGACCACCTGTCAGGGGTGGCACTGCCCACACTGCGCTGGGCCCTCCCACATCACTCAGAAATCAAGAAAATGCCCCAGAGACATGATCACAGACCAGGCTAACGGAAAAAAAATTCCTCAACTGAAGCTCCCTCTACCCAGGTGTATCCAATTGACAGCTAAATCTATCCAGCACAAGAAGGGAGTAAGACAGCAAGGAGGGAGGGTGCTGGAAGTAACAGTAACACATGGCATGGTAAATATGTAAGAGGTGATGAGCATTCTGGAGCACATCCTGTGTGTATACATATATCAAAATATATCAACTTTGTACTTTAAATATGTACTTTCTTGTATGTCACTTATGTTTTTAAAATGCTTCAGAAGGACAGGGGATGTATCTCATTTCCTAGAGTTCTTGCCTAACATGAAGCCCTAGTTCAGTCTCCAGCATTGCATAAATGGAGCATTTTGACCCGTACCTGTAGTCCCAGACACAGGATGATCAAAAGTTCAAAGGTCATCATTGGCTACATAATGGGTCTGAGGCAAATCTGCCCAACATGAGACCCTGACAAAACAAAATGCTGGAAAAATAATTACAGCAGAGTGATTACAACTCTGTTGAAAAGAAGGAAAAACAAAGAAGCTAAGGAATCATTAGAGTGTTTAGTCTATGTGTCAGTCTCCAAAATAGGGATTATTTGTTCTCACACTCAGAATATAGTTCTGAGGAGGGACACAATTGACAACTACTAAGTCTCTCATAAAATGGTAATAGATGCAGAGAGCAGGGGGAGACCTGGGTATGTGATCGCTAAGTTTTCAAAGTGACAGTACAAAGCAAAGAAGTCCTGTACCGTGTGTTTTCAGGGGCAATATTATGAATTAGTAGTAAAAGCACATGGTTCAGGATATGCTACAAAAATAGTAGTAAATTGAGAAATAAGACCTGGGGTTCTAGTTGTACTTAATCATGTAACTAAAGAGCGGTGTGATTTTTTGGTTAGTCAGTTCACCAGTAATAGTCTGTTATATCATCAATAAAAAATCTGTGGATTTAGATTGACTTTAAGAGTTTATTCTCATTCTGACTTCTTATGACATTTGAGGACACCCTGTTTCCTTTTCCCCTTTCTCCAACACTACAAAATTTCTGTCCCTCCCCACCCCTACTCCCACTCCCTGCCCTGTATACACACACACACACACACACACACGGGGGGGGGTGGAGAGAGAGAGAGAGAGTGTTTTTCAGGCTAGGAGATTTGATTCAGTACTTTAGTCTCAAAGTCTCTTAATGTCTTCCAGAGTTTATTTTTTTGGAGTTCCCAAGTCATTTTCATTTGTAAAATATTATGGATTTTGAGCTTAATTTCAACTATTTCTGAAACTCTAGTCTGTGAATGTCTAATTAAAATACAAATGCCATAGAAAGAGATAGATACTTAAACTGTCAGTCATTTCTCCAATTCCTCTGAAAAGCAGAAAAGACATTATGTGCCCCTCCTAAAAGACTTGTGTACATCTTAATCCCTAAAAATGTTCAACAATACCGTACATGCCCAAAGAAGATCTTGTTCTGGTTACCTGGCTGGACCCTAAACACATATCCTTATCAGACAGAGGTAGGATGTTTTAAACAGAAGAGAAAGCAATGTAACCTTAGAGGCTGATACTAGAATGATGAAGTTAAAAGTTAAGGAATGCCTAGAGCCACCCAAAGCTGGAAGAACCAAAACGGAATTTTCCCCTATAGAGTTGGAAAACCCTCCATCCTTTGTTAAAATATGACATAAGAAAGAATCGCTCGTGGAGCAGTATCTACAAAAATGACAGAGCAGAAACTCCAAAGGCCCACACAGAAACAGTCAAAAAATGCATTCACGAACTGTCAGAATCAACTTGATCAGAACTTTGAAAAATAGACAAACGTTTACCACAACTACATGAATGCTGAATCAAGAAAATGCAACTTTAAACTGTAGGAAGCTTATGACATTTTTATTTGCTCCTTCCCTGTCCCCTACCAAACTACAGTCTTTAAAATGAAAGCCCTGAGGGCTAGAGAGATGGCTCGGCAATTAAGGCTATTTGCTGCTCTTGCAGAGGACTTGGGTTCAGTTCCCAGCACCCACATGGCATCTCACAACCATGTGTAACTCCAACTCCAGAGAATCTGACACCCTCTCCTGGCCTCTGCAGGCACACACAGACACACACACACAAACACATGCACATACACACACACACACACACACACACACACACACACTTGCTTACA